CTGATTACAAGTGATTTTAATTTATATTTTTATTCCAATAACAGACAAATAGCGTTATCTGAGTAAGTGTACCTGATCGGTTGATTACATATAACCGCTAACTGAGTGTGTAAAATAGCATTTATAAAATAGAAAAAGGTGTTCACATATTAAGACAATATCATAGGTCGACACTTTCTTGTATCTTTTCAAACTAAAAATGATGTCGTATAAGTTTACAGGAATTAATTTAACTCTTTTTTTCAGCGTTCGCGATTCGTCTCTGGCCTCGCTTGTAGCGTTTCTGATGTTTCTGCTACCATCAAATTTGAATTTCTTCCAAAATTATAAAGCAAAATGTAAATAGTTACAATAATCTTATTTTATGATTGTTAGGTATAAAGGGTGGCGTAACAATCTTTTTAAGCGCTAAGCCTACAGCTGTCTGTCCCATCTTGAGAAAATCTCTTAAATTTTAATAGAAAGATACTTATTATGTTTACACATTTCTCAAAATATTAGCAGATCAGCTTACAAATAAATATAAGAGATAAGAAATAAAAGTATATATATATATATATATATATATATATATATATATATATATATATATATATAAATAAATATGTTGGGACATTAACACACAGCGCCATCTATGTCCATGGTAAGCTACGAGGCTTGTGTTATGGATACCAGATAGTTGATACACTACACATATATAACTTTAAATACATACATATTATAAATATAAACACCCATGACTGGAGTACAAACATTCGTCATCACACAAATGAATGCCCCCAGCGGGACTCGAACCCGCGACCGCTGGCACAGAAAGTAGGGTCACTACAAACTGAGCCAAACGTGTTGTTGTGTATATATATATATATATATATATTAAATAAAAATATTATTGTACCTAGAGGAATGAAGTAAAAGCCGATATAACAGCTTATACAATTTGCCATGCAGTTATAAGAAAGTAATGAGAAATTTTGCAAAAATATGTTATATTTGTTCAAGTATTTCTTATATTGTAAATTTGTAAATATATGTTTTTTGTTTTAACAATAAATTTTAGTTCATGAAGACTTACCAAAAAAGCGAATTGAATCTGTACTGAATTGGACAACTTTAATAAATGAATTACCATATAGTTTTACTTTCCTTCTTGGTTAGTTTTCTTATCTATAATATAACAAGTAGTACATAGTATATAAATTTAAATCATTTTATATATAACACTTTATATATATATACTCGTATATATATATATATATATATATACATATATAAACATTATCCATGATATATATATATATAAACATTATCAATATGCATGCCCTAAGTAGAGCAGAGTAGAGCATGCTTTTATGTGTTCTATGTCGATCATATTACCTGTTTTCATACTTAGTTAGTATGTAATTAACTGAGAATACACTCAGTATTATGACAATGCATCAAATTTTCAGGAGGTGGTTTCGCATTATCTGATGCAGCGAGACAAACTGGTCTTAATACAAAAATAGGTGAATTTCTCCGGAATTTGGAAACTTTACCAAATTTCGCCATTATTTTGATACTTATAACGTTTGTCGTCTTGATAACGAATATTGCGTCGAATGTTGCTGTTTGCAATGTATTAGCGCCGATATCGATGCAATTGGTAAGCAATAATAAAATTATATTTTTTAGTCTATACTTTTCAATACAAACTAATGGTATTTGTTAGACGTTTTTTGCTGATTAAGCTACAGTATGGCGTCAAATCCATAAGCTGTGATTTCTTTAAGTTTCATTTGGAATTAATCAAAGAATGCAGTGAGAAGTAGGTAAACGTTGTATTTTGATTATACGAGTAGCTTAAATAAACGATCTGATAGTACTTCGATTATAATCGAATAGATCGAATGGTACTTGAAGATTAAATGCATTTTATATATTACGTATTTAACGGCTTTCTTGGGGCTGTAATACTAAAAGAAAATCATTAGTTTTTATGACATTATTTTGTTGTAGATCTTTCTGTTTGAGCCCAAAAATACTCGTCTATTCTATATACTAAATAGCAATACATGTGAACAAAGCCGCAAGAAATTTGTAATACATTTTTAAAATAATATTTTAATTTTTTATGTAAGCCATGATATTATTATCTACATATTGTATATTACATATGTATTGTATAGTGTATACACTCTATAATAACGTCCCAATGCTGAGGGTGGGCCTCTCTTCAATACAAGGGAGATCAGGCCATGGTCCAGCACGTTGGGCAATTACGCGTTGACAGAATTCACTTTAAAAAGTTTGTTAAGCTTTCTTTCAAAAGCTATAGGTTTCTTAAATATGCAGGTTTCCGCACGATGTTTTACTTTACGCTTCCTTCGCCGTAAGACATATCAGAAATGTGACCCGGGTTTTGACCTCACTTCGCTTGGTTTTTCAAGCAAGCGCGTTACCTGTGAGCTGCCACTGCCTCTAACCAAATGTTGTGCTTGTATACATACATATTTTATATATTTTACGATAACTTTTCCAGGCCAAAGAAGTTGGTAAAAATCCTCTATGGTATGTGATTGCGTCTGGCTTTTCCTCATCCTATTGTTTTATGTTGCCCGTTGGGACACCTGGTAATCTTGTCGTACAAAGTGCTGCAAAAATTCCTACTCGAAAAATGGTAATTTTAAGAATCATATACACACACATATAAATATATATATATATATATATATATACATATATATATATACATATATATATACATATATATATATATATATATATATATATATATATATATATACATGTACGTTGCAAAGGCACTGAAAAAAATGCTCTACAACTTTAATTACAGACGCAAATATCGTTTAACGCTTATTTGACTGGACTATTGTTTTAATAGACTTTGACAAGCACTCTTCAATCTCTTATGTATATTAGAATTAACTAAGTAAAAGTTATTATTACATATTTTTAAATATAAAACTCAATCAAACAAGGTGTTTTGTAATAAACTTTTATAAGGATGTTTTCTTAAAATATTAAATATGTTTTTATCTATACTAATTAACAGCTTCATTAAGATCACGCCTACACAGTACACATACTTGTTAGAATCTTTGAGATTTCAAGGTCTTTACAATAATATTACGTTTTATTTACAGATAAAAGCAGGCTTCGGGCCTACAATTACGACTATAATTATAACGTGGCTGGCTGTGTATTTTTACGCCCCAATTATTTGGCCGGAACTTCACAAAATGCCAGATTGGGCCAAATGATAAAAACTCATTTCAATAACCTTTTGTTTGCTTGATAACTTTTTTGTTTAATTCCTTCCAGTAGCTCTTAGCATTAAATATTATATCGTTAACTGACTTAAAAAGAAAGAAGTATTAGTAAGGCTGAATTCACACGGTATCGTCCTGCACGTTTTTTTAGTATTCGATTTTAAACGTACACTCAGCCGGGTATTCATGCGGTAGATTTTATTCGTGTAAAAACGAATATCTGCAGCTATCACACGTTGTCATAGTGAGTAGATGTCAGTGATGGATCCACGCTTGGTTGTACTTCCATAATGGTATCGAAGGCGCCATCGGTGGCTATTCAGTAAAAAACTTATGGCATCGTGCCGTGTGAAAGAGACAGGGCTAACCTATGCGCCACTGCAAACCGAATACGTTAAAGTTCACTCGATTTCCTTGACAAGTCCGGTAAGTATTCGGTTAAACGTATAAACGTTGTACGATTTTTTGCAGTACGAAAGACGTGTGAACGGTTCTATGTACAATGTATGTACACACCATCAAAAATACAGTCAATTCTTAGCGCTTTAAATTTGGTGACCATTTGCAACATTTTCTTAAAAATGCCTCCCAACTTCCTTGGAACATTTTTCGTGGTGTGTAATAAATGCTATGCTAGCAGTCTTATAAATCATCTAATTATTACCCAAGTATTATATATAAAAATCAACTTTTATACTATAACGTAAGTAGAATTATCATTACATGAAAAGGGTGTCTGGCAAGGGTTTGCCACAATGTTAAGTGTCTGGCATTGAATGACGTGATTTTTAATAATATTCTGAAGGTAATACCAAAAAATCACACTTTATTATTTGACGAATTTAGATCAGTATTTTACACACCTTTAGTACCGTGTACCTGCCAAAGCCACCATAGCTTGAACTTCATAATGGTCCATCGTTCTTATCTGTGTTGGGAGCATGCGCTGACAAACTTTCAGCCTTTATAAAATGACGAAGGTCTGGCGTTCACGGGCTCTTTCTCTATAAGACGTATACTGCAAAAAACGTGCACGACAATGCAGTGTGAACCCAGCGTAACGTGAAGTCTAGATAAGTCCTAAAATTTTATATACCGTTGTATTATGTTACAACACGTAACGTACCGTTGTAATTCGTTGGATATAATAAAAGTTTTTGCTGTTATTAAAGCTATTATGATTAAAACCTAATTTTGATTTTATTTATATTAGTTAGAATTATATCCTAATGTTTGCACATAATCAATTATTTGTTATTTACTTATTCACACATGTACACGCACTCGCACGCGTACGCACCCACGCACGCACGCACGCACACGCACGCATCACGGACCACTGTAAAACTACTGGACGCCGGACAGACTTTAATGGAGCGGGGAGCGTAGGCACACTGTTTTACTGTGCTTGGCCAGCATGATGAATAAGGCTATAGCCTAAACCCCTTTCATATTGAGGGGCCCGTGCCAAATAATGGGATGTTAAGGGCTGAATTATTTATCGTTAATTGTGTATTAATACGTGATGATGATGAGAAAGATGATAAGTACATATTATTATATGGAATAATTTTTCAATGGTCTCTTCATAGCCTTGATTGTCAGTTTCACATAAAATTGTATCTACACCAGTGCAATATGTCCATATTATTACTTTTCCATAGCCAACTAGATTTATCCTTATATTATTTGTTTTATTACTTGAAAAGTAGTTACATAAAAGACAAAATGGACAATACTTCTTATCAGGATAATGTAAATGATGGTACTGAAATTGCCCCATTAAGTGTTGAAGAAGACGCTGATACATCGTTAGTATTTATTTTAATTATTTAAAATACACACAAAACAAATATTACATATTTTCATGTGCATAATATTTATATCTCTAACCATCTTATGTGAGAAAAATCTAAATAAAATAAATATGTGGGGACATTAACACACAGCACCATCTAGTTCCATGTAATCTACGAGATTTATGTTATGGATACAAGATAGTTACACGTATTATATATAACTTCTTAAATACGAACCTGTTATAATTATTCCCTCCACGACCGCGGACACGCCGGAGTGTCAGTTAACAATAGATTAAGATAGAATTTTAATGAATTTCTTAGAAATTTACCTGGAGGTGATATAAGCAGCCATGAGTGGTGTACAAACATTCGTGCTCATCACACAAATGAATGCCCCCAGTGGGACTCGAACCCGCGACCGCTGTCATAGCAAGTAAGTTTACTACAAACTGAGCCGAACATCTGACAATAAATTCTGTTTATCATCTGTCAATTATAACCAAATCCTTTATCATCAAAAATAGTAAATAACCATTTTATCAGCACTAGGAGGAGAGAAGAGGGAGAGTATAATAATTATTTGAGTCAATAATTGACTTATTTAAAAATAAGTGTACTAGCATTACCCGCGGCACCGCCCACGTTCAGATGACCGAAAAGAAAATTCTTAGGTTTTACATATTAGTACACTCTTACAATGCAATTTTTGTATATGTTGACCCGAATAACCAGCTATCACCATACCATATTTCATCAAAATCCCTCCAATGGTTTTTCTGTGATGCGGTAACAGACAGACAGACAAAAATTATAAAAACTATAGATTCTTCCTCTGTATCGATAATAATGTTTATTTCAATGAGATTTTTCGAAAAATATTTAATGTACAGATTCGGCTTAGTTACAATTTTATTATATGTATAGATAAACTCTTACAGTAATGCAGCATCGCTGACAAACAAGGAAAGGATAGTTTTATTCTGCAGTACTCATTGGCGAGGAGTAATATGCTTAATAGTGCCGTTGATTTTAATACCCATACATCTTTCATTTCCGCCAGAGGTAATGATCAAGTATTTCATCATTTGTTTTTTGTACAATATTATTGTTTTATTACGAACAGGTTGATATATTATAAAGTACTAGCTGACCCGACAGACGTTGTCATGTCTACACGTCTTTAATTTGAAAATTTCAAACTTTTCTTAATAAGCTAAAACATTCTGGACCATTTTGATGAAAATTATTATTCAAATTGTGAATCTAAACCATTCTCAGATCCCCTTGAACACACACAAAAAATTTCATCAAAATCGGTCCAGTCGTTTGAGAGAAGTTCAGTGACATACACACTCACAGAAGAATTATATATATAAAGATTTAAATACTATGTTTTTGTATTTTTTAACTAAAATTGCATTCAAAATGTCATTAAAGTAAACACATGTTACCCCCCAATATGTATAAGCTCAGTTTAGTAGTAACTGATTTGAAATTATAAAAAACTATACCTATATGGACTATGGCCTGGTCCTCTCGTATTAAAGAGAGGCCCTTGCTCAGTAGTGGGATGTTAAAATGGACTGAATATAATGATAAATACATAATTTCCAACAAACAATATCTCCAACTACGAAATTATAATTATTACAAAATGAGACCTATGTTACTCTCCGCTTGTTAAACGCTCTATGCAAAACAAATATTTGCTTCAATTATGGGCCAAAGACAAACCAAAAAACTGACCGACAAAAAAAATTTAGTATAATATGTTATATAGATTAGAATAACATCAAGTCGAAGGAAGTGGGGTATTTTTATTTTTTTCTACAAAGAATATTTCAAACGCTTTAAGATTATAAAAAAAGAAAAAAAAGTTAAAAAAAAGATAAGCTTCTCATCACAAGAGTTACAGACAGACCTACGTAAAGATGTTCTCTTATTTACAAATATTTTATAGTACCTTTTTAATGTACATGTTACCGTTGAAGTTGTTACTCGTTAGTCTGCTCATTGCCCGGTTAATTATCTAGTTAAGTACGTATTTTTACTTAAACTAGTAAAAGTGCACACTAACTGAATTCTTCATGGTAATATAGATAAACATAGAGCAAATTATGAAATACTAGCGACTCACTCTCGCTCCCCTTTTTACCCCTTTAAGGGATGATTTCCAAGATAAAAACTATCTTATGTCCTTTCCAAGGTCTCAAATTATCTTCATACCCAAGTTCATCGAAATCGGTTCAGCGAATTTTTAGTTTATCCATTACAAACAAACACAAACTTACAAACTTTACCTCTTAATATTATTAGTGTAGATGTACATATGTGTGTTTATTCTAGAAATATCAATGGTGCGCTTATACTCTAGTCTTGATGGCAATATTTTGGGTAACAGAATGCATTCCACTAGCAGTCACTTCATTTTTACCAATATTTATATTTCCTATGACCGGTATTATGAGTACTGGCGAAACATGTTCATGTTATATGAATGTAAGTATATTTTGTATGACTTTAACACAATGTAGCGTATATTTAGACACTTAAGACAAAATAAATTTTAAGAAAAAAATATTTTCACAATCGATAAAATGAACAAATGAAAATTGTGGTTAGGGAATTTTTTTTATTTAAAGTTTACGAAGTTTAGAAGATGACATGATGTTTGGTAATTCGGAAACCTCAGTGCGCAAGTCAGACTCGTAATTGTACGATTTTGCTTAATTTAAAAGTTTATAGAAATAAGAAACAGAGAGAGAGATAGAGGGAGAAAGAGGGAGAGAAAGAAATTGATATATTATTTTATTTAGTATTTAATTATTTATGGAGTCAAAAGGCGCGTGTTTAAGATCTGCGTAAATAATCTTAACGAGCAATTCTTGTATATATATATTCTGAATCTCGGAATATTAGATAGATATATTAGATATATCTTTATGTAAAACTACTTTATACTTTTAAAACATATTTTCGCATCAAACGAATTCAATGCTCAATAGCGAATAAGCGAATTCAATATTACTATTTGAAAGCTCGTTCTCGTTGTATACTCTCTTTGAACGTGTATCTGCAAATCTTGAAATATAGTATAAAATTCATATTAATATATAAACAGTGAGCCCTGTGAGATTTCCCATCGCTAAAATAAACAGACGCATATCAATTTTCATATTTCTAGCTTTAAAGATGACGTACTTCCATACAAAATATCCATCTTTATTTAATTCTCTGGGAATGAGTTTGAAAGAAAAATATGTAAGAAGATAGTGTTCAAAATTTCATGGTTCTGAAATCAGTGGTTTAGTTTGTGCGTTGACTGTTAGTTGATAAGCGAATAAATGTTTTAAAATATGCGTTTTTGGGTGTCTAACTTTGTGGTTTTGTTTTCTACAATAAACTTCTCGATCAATATTTAGTCAAATATATAGAGTATACATTTTTATTACAAAATTCTTATGAACCACTGGTTGGATATATCCTCGGATATGTAAAAATATTGGTCCTGCTACGAATCTCTCTTCAACTGTATTGAATTTTCTAAATCAACGGAAAAGTTTTAAGCGTAATGAGAAAAGTTTTCGCATTCATTCGTGAATGATATATAATAAAATAATACAGTAAAATAAAACTTTGCCTTTTCATGTTTTTTTTTTATCTTTCTACGAGAACGCCTGCCTTTCAGGATACCATCATGATGTTTTTAGGCAGTATGTGGTTAGCATACGCTGTTGAACAATCTGGGCTTCACATGAGACTGGCCCTACATGCTATTCGGATTGTTGGTTATTCCCATTATAGGTTAGTTATTTAAAATATTAAAAAAAATATATTTAATAGGTCTCATAACTCTACTACGTCAATATTTGTAAATATTATTTTTTATTGAATTTGTTAGAACGAGATACTGATTAATTATTAACAAATTATTATTATTTACCTAAACTTTTTAATCGAATAGTGCTTATGACAAAAGATTTAATTATAAATGTCATACAAGTACTTAAATTGTGATAATAATTTGGAAAATTGGGCATTTTAATTCGAGGGCTCGAAACGAACAGATAAAAATTATGAAAATTCTCGTTATTATATTTTTCAGGTTATTATTTGCAATGTGTTTTACTACCATGTTTATTTCAATGTGGATTACGAATACTGCAGCCACAACGATGATGGTTCCTATTAATTTTGCCTTGTTACAAGTATTCGAAGAAGTAAAGACATTATTTATTATTAACATATACTCGTATATATATATACGCAATATATATATATATATATATATATATATATATATATATATATATATATATATATATATATATATTGCTTCGCTCGGGTGCGTCTCTGGGTGCCTGTCTGTCTATCTATCCGGACGTTATAACGTGAAGGGATACCAAATATACACACTTTTGCATTTATAATAGGAATCCGATATTTCTGATAATTTTGTTGACAATACATATTAGAACTTACGAAAAGATAATGTAAAATCTATGTATTTTTTACTAATTATTTTTGAAAAAAAAACTTTTTGTTTTTAAAACACAGTTTAATTTAAAATAAATGGGTAGGCTGAATTTTGATTGAGATTTTTAATAACGACTTTCAGTTCGACTTACTTCAAATATATGACACAGGAAATGATGGTGTAAAGATTGCTTCGGATATAACTACTTGTTATTTTTGTGCCACCACATTTTCGGCTACTATAGGTATTTTGAATACTATATTTACATAATAATGATACTAACGACCTACTCTTCCCTCGTATGAGTCTATTACTAGATCCCTTATGTATTTTTGTGCGGCAACATAGATAAATTTATTTATTTATAGATGATGGGAAATTTGATATACTTGATAATATTCGTTAGTTGCCAATCTTTGGAAGAAAATATAATAATAAATAAGAAAAAAAAATGCCTTATACTTTTATATTTTATAAGCATTAGTTATCTTCTCCATATTATTAGTTGTATATTGTTTTGAAACGTTACATATTATTTTTAACCGACTTCTTTTCGAAATCTTTTTTTGGTGTATGTTCATCGATTACTCGAAGACGAACCTGAACCGATTTGTATTTTTTTTTTGTTTCAAAGGATATACTTTCCAGGTGGTCCCATATTTTATATATTATAACCTATAATTTTGAAATAAATTGCTTAATCGAATATGTTATTAAAAAAACTTTTTTCTTACAAATTACCGGCTTATTGAGTCTACACTAGAAATGGAAAAATACATTTTAGTGCCTGGAAGTCGGTTTTTTTAATAAACTATTATTGTTTGGCGTCATGTTTAATTATGACACTCTGTGTATATTATTACATAGAGTAAAAAAGTAAGTTCTCAAAGGAACAAGCATTATTTTCAGTTAAATGTAATTTCAGGTGGCATTGGTTCTTTGGTGGGTACAGCCACGAATCTAGTATTCAAAGGATTATTTTCTAAGTATGATTTTTAAAAATTTATAATAAGTTGTAATTAATATGTTTAATTTGTTATTTTTTCTAACTATTCTTATAACTTTTCAGAATGTATCCTAAAGCGCCTGAATATCTATCCTTTCCAAAATTTTCCGCATTTGCAATTCCTTATATGCTGTTAATGGAAGCATTCGTATACATTTATCTTGTTATAGTATATCTGGGTTATCTGAGGTATGATGATATAAATTTTCATAATATAATATAATAATAAACTTTATTCATAAATAAGGAAATTGAATAGAGAACATAGTAATTTTACACTAAAGGCTTGTACAATTCAATTTCAAACAGTTGGGTGAAATATTGTAACTCCTTGCTAGATTATAAATATAATCTATGTTTATATACAAATTATTTATCATAACTTTTTTAATATTTTTTTCTGTAACAACTAGAATTATAGTACTTAAGTAAGCAAATACCAACTATTTTAATTCAAGAAAACAATAAAAAATACTTTTGTTTTCATACAACTTCGTAAAATAGAATAAGAATCCTACCAATTTTATAGTTAACTAGCATTGCCCGCGTTCAGATAACCAAAAACCAAATTCTTAAGATTTAAATATTATTAGTATACTCTTACAATGCAGTTTTTGCATTTTTTCTCAGAAATGAGATATTTTCCCGCGGTAAAAAGTATCCTATATGTTGACCCGGATAACCAGCTATCATCATACCAAATTTCATCAAAATCTGTCCAGTGGTTTTCTCGTGATGCGGTAACAGACAGACAGACAAAAATTCTAAAAACTATAGATTTGGACTCTGAATCGATAATAATGTCTATTTCAGTTAGATTTCCCAAAATATATTTAATGTACAGATTCGACTTAGTTAGAATTTTATTATATGTATAGATTACCGCCCCTTAAAAAATATAAGTATTCTGATCCTCTGGGATGTAAATTGACACAAAAATATTTGTACCAGGCCGAACAGTGAAACAGCTAAAAGGGCAAAAATATCATCATCAGGAGTTGAGGCAGCAAAAAAAGCAGTTAATGAAAATATAGAAAAATTAGGGTCTATAACACTTTGGGAAATTGTATGTTATAAAAGTATTTAAATTATCATTTTATTAATAAATATTATTTTTAATAATTTCTTAGATATACGCGAATATTTGACATAACAATATTTAAATATATTTTTATAGTTGAATTGAATTAAAAATAAATTTATTTAGCTACATTAACACGTCTGGCTAGTTTACGGCACAGAAGATAATCACTTTTTAGTTTAACTATGTAAATAACTAGAAACTACCTAAGACTTCAAAATTTTTGTTAATATTTTTATTTATTCCACTACAACTAATTATATATCCTTCCTTATGCTATTCTAAACAGACAAACAAACAGTCATACAGATATTTAGATAATTGTGTGTGTGTAATTTTGAAGCAATGTTATTATGTAGATTATGTACTACTACTCACTCGTTCACGAACTTTCGAGTTTACGAGATATGAGACAAAGTATATTGGTAGACTAAGTGCCGCACTCAGCAGGAATCTTTGCTAATTCAACGGAAAGTGAAAAACGTTGTATGTGAACGAGTCGTTGTTGTTTCCAAAGCCTTCGCCAACAGGGAGCGTAACATAACTATAATATAAACATTATTCTGATATTGAAAAACTAGTTTTCGCTCACGTGTTAAGCCGGGCGGTGATTAAAGGTAGCCTATGTCCTTGCCATATTTTATCGATTTCAGTTCACCGGCTTAAGCGTGAAAATGTAAGAGACAGTTACTTTCCCATTCATAATATTAGTATGGATGAATAAATATTTAATATCAAAATCTATACTAATATTATAAAGAGACAGAGTTTGTTTGTTTGAACGCGCTAATCTCAGGAACTACTAATCCGATTTGAAAAATTCGCTTTGCTTATAGCCCGACTATTGAGAAAGGCTATAGGTTATATATGCTATTATCCAAGGGAGCGGAGCAGTAATCATAATTGTCAATAAATCGGGCAGACTTCCATATGTTATTGTAAAACTGATGTATATATCGGAAGTTTAAATGCGGGCAAAGCCACGGGAACTGCTAGTTGAAAATATGACAGGGTAAACACATACAAAATCTTAATATACACATGATATAAATGGATATTACTTAATACTTTATTAGTGGTAAAATAGTTATATCTAAATATTGTACAGGTCTAGATTAGATAGAGATTGAGTTTATAAATAAAAAAACATACATACACAGTACAAACATAATACCGCCTTCTTTTTGGAAGTCGGTTAAATACAGATTATATCATCCAGATTGCACATGTGTAACTTGTTCTATTTTGTAGATTTCTTGTTTGTTTATATTTTCAGCTTGTAATTACTCTTTTTACTGGAGCAATTTTGATGTTCTTTTGCCGCTCACCGCAAATATTTCTAGGATGGGGAGATGCGATCCCTGAATATTATAATATTCATAATAAAAAATTGTATGTAATATTTTAAATTACTTCATTTACTTTATAGTGATACGATATTTTTATATTACTTATTCGTATGCAGCGTACAAGACTCTTCTGCAGCGACATTGGTTGTATTTTTAATGCTACTAATACCTTCATCGCTAAAAATTTTTGAAAATTTCACCGCTAAGTGTAAGTATTTCTTTTTTTATATATACCTATTTTTATGTTTTACTGTTTGGATATAAATTATTAAATTAACAGAATTGTTAAAAAAAATTAAACCAATATTCATAAATAACAAGTTTAATAAATATTTTGGTTTTAGATTATGGTGATTTACCTGATAAAAGCATAAAGACAGTTTTAATTTGGGAAAAAATGAACGAAGTGATGCCCTACAGTTTTATGTTTCTTTTAGGTAATTAAAACTATGATAATTGTTAAACGTTAACGTTTAACAATTATTAATTAATTAACCACAGTGGTAGCACTGTACAGGTTAAACTGCCTCGGTGGTGTAGTGGCTAGCTTGTACGGTTGCACACCCGGAGGTCCTGGGTTCAAATCCCGGGTCAGGCCAAGTTTAGTTATTGAGTCTTTCTGTTTAGTGAGCCTCAGGAATAGTCCGGAGTTGGGAAGTTGGCGGTATTTCACCGCCGTGCCTCGGAGAGCACGTAAAGCCATCGGTCCTACGCCTTAACTCACACTGGTCGTATCGAGTAGTCGTCCCACCAGAGTATGAGAGTGACTAAAATAGAGAGTGCACTTGTGTGTCTGCGCGTACACGAGCTGCACTATAATAGCTCCTGCGCATCTGGCTAGTCTCAATCAGATTAGGCACCGTGGCCGATATCGGTCGGGAGGACATTATTATTATTAAGTGAATTAATACAGCGGAATTTAACCAACATTAAAGTACTGGGGTAACAGATTTGATTTCACTTAGAGTGATCGTTTATTTAGATCGTTAGATTTCAAAAAAATTAAAGCTAGAAGTACTACTAATTTTATAACAGAAAATTATTTAATGTTCATTATATAATACCGCACAAAACTGATGTATTTTTTCAGAATTGGGTAGGTATATTTTTCGGACAGATATAATGTGTAGCTACAAGACTGACCAAAGCTAGGGTGGCTTACATTCAATTATATTATACTACTAGATTAGTTATTGGACACCTATTATTCATTTATCCTAAATGAAAATTTGCTTCTATTTGCTAACTTCATATTTCAGCGCACAATTAAACTTATTTTTTTACAGGTGGAGGATTTGCCCTCTCCAATGCAGCCAAAAAAGAATACACCGATTTGAACGGAAAAATAGGGATTCTCTTAAAAAATCTTAAAAATTTACCAAATTTATTTATTATTCTTCTCATCATTATATTCACTGTTTTTACCACAAATTTCGCGTCAAATGTTGCTGTTTGTAACGTCATAGCACCTATTGCTATGCAGTTGGTAAATATTATCGTGTTCAAAAGGCACTTTTTGAAGCCATTAAGAAGAAAATTGAATTGAACTGAATTGAAATATTATCGTTACTTTCTGCAATTATAGAGTGAAAGCGGTGGTAAAATATTCACGTATTTTCTTATGTTTTCCAGGCAAAAGAGATTAATCAAAATCCGTTATGGTACAATATAGCAACTGGTTTCTCGTCCTCTTATGCTCTATGTTTACCAGTTGGTACCCCTGGAAATTTAGTTGTTCAAGGCGCCGCCAATATACCCACGTCGAAGATGGTAAGATAAAATCCTCTAAAAAATAGGCAGAATGTCAGAAGTAATTTATATAATTGATATTAGTATTACAGAGCTAAAGTTTCTTATCTTTGAAATTTAACTGAAGTAATGAGATTAGTTAAATTATTTTGCATTCATTTATGTAGGTCAAAATAATAATAATAATAACATTAATAAACTACGCGGACAGAGCCGCGGATAAAGCTTATATAAAAAATCAAATCCAAATTCTTACTTTTTGTCTGAGCTGTTTTTTTTGTCTGACTTTCTATTTGCTCAAATAAATAGATTTAAGTACATATATAGCTTTAGCTCACCGCATCCTTGAATGGCTGTGCATAAAGATAATCCACTTGAGACAGTTCGAGACAGTTCATAGACAGATATTACGTACTACTATATAACAATAAGAATATATTATTGACGTATACGATATATTATCTATTATAAATATTTTCCATATTTAAGATAAAAGCTGGTATTGGTCCTACAATCTCAACAATTATCATAACCTGGTTAGCTATATGTTTTTGGGCACCTGTTGTCTGGCCAGACTTAAAGAGTTTACCTGATTGGATAGAATAAAAGAAAATGGATACTATTGATTAAGTCGATGTGATTAAAAATTAAAAAAAAAACTTTTGAATCATGATAAGTCTTTTATTACAGAATCATCACACTACTATTACAAATATGAAAGTTTATATGTGTATGTTTGCTATTTCGTAGCGCTGAAATTGCCGGTTTTGGATTTTTAGTACACAGACAGACTACGATGGGCAAACTGGTACTGCAACTGCCTTAAGGCACTAAGGAATGTACCAGTATTTAACAAGATCTATACATATATAAATAGACGAAGAAAAATTATTTCAATAACATTTTATCCTTTGTTTTTCAACCGATTTTGTTTTTTTTTATTTAGTAGCTATTGACTATCTTTATCAATAAAAAGGATGATAGCCGAATTTGGACCTCTCGGAGAACAATACTATTTAAAAAGATTTGATATATTTGGATAATTTAAACGGTAGTGTACTTTTTGGTTTGTTTGGTGTTTTTTTTTGACAATGGAAAAAAATTAGCTCATGATTTTAGGATAAAAGTAAAATATTTCTTTTAATATGAAGTCATAAATAATCAAAAAGAAATAAAGTAACATAAATAACTTTATTTCTCATTAAAAAAAACACGTTCGAATACACCTACAACATATTTTTGAAGTATTTATTTTAAAAACAATCTTGAATTAATTTTATTCTTCTATAATAAAAAAAATATATAAATAAAATAGGATTCTTCTTTACTTCAATATGCTTAAAATGCTTATAATATAACGGAATATAACATATTTGTGTAGTTTTACTGAATTTAAATTGAACTAAATATGAGAATTATAGGCCTTCTCCACCACCCCCGCCGCCTTCACCACCACCACCACCCTCTCCACCACCACCGCCGCCACCCTCGCCGCCACTCGGTGGAGTGGGTGGTAAACCAGAATCGTATACACCATAGATTCCGATTCCAACATTCTTAGGATCCCATATAAAAGGACCCCAATAACAGAGAGCCAGCCACAGTATAACAGTACAAATAATTATACTGCCGATTGAATACTTTGCCTGTAAGGAAAAAATGCAAATCGTTAACTAATAATAATCAATTAACGAGTTCACTACAATAATATACTCTCCATTTACAAGCGTAGGAAGGTATTTAAAAACATTATATTATATAATATGTCGGATAATTTCGAGGATCTATAATAAAAAAATGTTCGAGTTATAAAATGTACATACCATTTTACTTTTTGGAACTTTGCCTGTGTAATGGCAAAAATAGGCAGGAGTAAACAAAAATGGTGATGCAAAACCCATCGAAGTACCAATGCCCACAGCAACTGCACCTAAATACGTTCTTTTTATCCAGTGTGCGGCCGCCCCCGGATATGTCTGGAAAGATTATCCGACACACTTAATATACGATTTTATACCATACGGTTTTATTTGATACAATGCGCTTTGTGATAGTACGGTATCACTTCTTAATTTTATTAATCAATCTAAAGCAAGAACTGGGCATTGTTTAGATCTATAAATATAATAAAATTGTAACTAAGCCGAATCTGTACATTAGATATTTTTTGGAAAATCTTATTGAAATAAACATTATTATCGATACCGAATCTATAGTTCTTAGAATTTTTGTCTGTCTGTCTGTTACCGCATCACAAAAAAACCACTGGAGGGATTTTGATGAAATTTGGTATGGTCATAGCTAGTTATCCGGGTCAACATATAGGATACTTTTTACTGCAGGAAAATATCTCATTTTCGAGAAAAAATACAAAAACTGCAATGTAAGAGTATACTAATATGTAAAACCTAAGAATTTGGTTTTTGGTCATCTGAACGCGGGCGGAGCCGCGTCCAATGCTAGTATTATTATATAATTTTATATCTAACTAGTACGACTAATGGAAATTGCTAGCTGAGTGCAGTGACTAGGGATCAATTAAATAACAAGACAAATGTTTGTATTTATCATACAGGTGATTGCTATCTGGATGATATATCTGTGATATAGGGCGTGATATAGGTTTCGGCTTTTATAAACTGCCACTCAAAACGCAATTAACATTGTCTAGATACAAATGAAAATAGGATAATGAAATGAGATTATTAAATGATAGAGAGATTAACTGATTGAATAATGGTGTGACCTGAGTAAATAAATAAGATATATTTTTGAACATTACTTTATATTATTGGCAACAAATCTTTTATCATGTCATGGTTAATTCCATGCAATAGGATAAATAAAAAAAAATGAAGCAAAAAATATTATTTTTAATTTGTATAATTACCATATTGAGAACAAAAGGTAGGAAAACGCAGCAGGCGGCGACTCCAGACATTATATTTGCGAGTAGAACTGATATTAGGCAAACAATAAAAATAGACGGATGCCAAGGCAAATCGGTGAGTTGTTTTGCGTATCTTTCAGTTACCAATGTGCTAAGCGCTGTTCTACGTATAGCTGTATTTAAAGCTATACCACCACCTATATTTTTTTAAAATATATGAATATTGTATGAGTGCGTGTATGAGTAAAATGTTACTTATTTATAAAGTGTTTCACAAAATTAAAATCAAATTGTAAGATCAAAAAATATATCAAAACTTGCAAATTTGCATGATTAAAAACCATGTTTCAAGAATGATTATTCCCAATACTTATGTTCAAGTTATTCCCAATCTCCCCCGTATCTTCTCCATTCTACGTGACAATAGCGAAAAAAACTGGCACGCTTTAAGGCCATTAACGAGAAAATTTAATTGAATATCTTACGTTAAACCGTTCATCTATATTATTTTTTGTTACCTTCAACTTCAACACGCCAATATTAAGACCCACCAGTGAAAATTGCTAAAATTCTCTTTGCATTGTATAGTCTATTTATACAGGAAACTTAAACTATCTAACATCCGCTAGTTCGAATCAATTATTATAATAACTTAATACGCGAGTAGAGCCGCGGTCAAAGTGCAATATTTTGTAATATTTTTGATGTAGAACCTTACCCATTAAAATAATATATCCATAGTTAGTATTTTTATCCACAAAGCGCCACCACATAATGCCCGACTCTGGTTTCAAAACTCCAAGCTCCGATTTCTCTAAAATGAATTATACACAGCTTGCAATTTTTACTCAATAATATTTTTTTATACTCGCAAGAAATAAACGATTTATAAAGATTACTATAGTAATATATTATAGGTAAAAAATAATATACCTAATTTTATCATTAAATTAGATTTTTTCTTAATATGTTTTAGTATTGGTTTAATTTCATTTCATATATTTTTTTAATAAAATTACCTGAAATTAAGCATTACAATGGCGTAATATTAAAATGATATACTTGCTTTTAGCAACAAAATATTTTCTAAAGGAGAGTGACTTTGGTAAAACGTGTAACGCAACTACAAATATCGCTGCAACCGTTGCATCTTTAATTCTGAAAAACATATATTGAGTTATTGGGGAAGTTTTTTGATCAATTTCCAAAAATAAGTTGGTACTAACTTAGGCTATATCTTTTAGATATCTTATAGAATAGATATACGCAAATTTAAATAGATTTTTTAATTAATTCAATACTTTATGAACTTATAAATTTATAGAAAATAGCCCATATTATTGATTTAAAGCATCTCCTAATTACTAAAGAAGAAGAAAGAAGTTATAGTCTGATTTTTAATTTGACGGAATTCTGACACTTCAAAAGTGTTGTCAACTTTTAAACATTGTCACTAAAAACGGAAAGCATTTTAGCAAAATAATAAAAAATAAACCTTTCTTGAATTTAAGATATCAATAAGAAAAACAGAGACTTAAAAAATTTACATTATAGTTATCCTGCATTGAATGGACAAAACAAAGACTATTTACAATGTCCTATATATAGTTTACTTAATCTAATTCTGTTTTATATTTTTTGTTATTATATATTAAAAAAATTCAAAACAGAAAAGGTTTATGATGTCTGAATTGTCAAAGAATGACTGCTGTCATATTTCCGTGGAATTAAAAATCAGACTTTAAAAAAATATATTTCAATACAAATTTAAAGCCTTACAGTGGTACTTGAGACCCCACGGATCTGAAAGCCGACCATCCCTTACTAATATTTTTTAACCAATCACTCCATCGGAAGAAACAACAAGCCAAGTATGCAATGTAGAAAAATATGCAGAGCTGTAATCATTTAAATTATCATAATACTTTGTTAGATTTACACGAATATTTGATATTTTATATGAAACTATATTTTTGGGCGAGACTCTCCCGTGACCCCGCGATGTTTGTTGTAAAGCATTCAAAACTTCGGAAACAAAGATATAAAGTATTTTATTATTTAAATTTTCAATTAAATTGCACTCAATTTTCATGGCATACTAACATTTTTTACCTAATAGTTTTTGCCTAATGTGCTAAGTGCAGTGGGTCTATTGCGTAGTCATTGCAAATATAGGGTTATGGAGAAAATAATAATATAAACATTTGATTCGATGAAACTTAAAGCAAACAGACGTGCGCAACATATAGAGTAAATATGCGCAAGTACACTCTCTATTCTATTTACATCAAAGTTTTAAACTTCTTAACTCTACCTTTTCATGCGCTTTTGCAGGTGGTAATGCATGTTTATGTTGTAATAACGTATTTCTCATCACGGTCATACTACTTCCGCTCATTTGCACCTTACCGATGGCCCTGAAATTTGTTTCAATTTATTTTTACTTTAAAATTATCAATAACTAGCGACTCACACTCGCTTCGCTCGGGTTCGTCCCTAGCCTTGATTCCCCATACAAACTTCCATCCCCGTTTTCACTCCCATAGGGGATGATTTCCGGTATAAAAAGTATCCTACATCTTTCCCAGGCTTTAAACTACCTTCTTACCCAATTTCATTTATATTGGTTCAGTAGATACAGAGATTATCCCCTACAACATCACAAACTCGCAAACTCACAATCTCACAAACATTACCTCTTTATAATATTAATATAGACTAGCAGATCCCGCAGCTACTCCCGCATTCAATATACAAAAAAAAACTCACCATCGTTTCGCTCGGGTTCTTTACTATATATATATTTATATAATGTTGTTCATACAAAAATACTAAAATCGTGATTAAAAATGGGGGATGGGGGTAAGTGGGTGAAAAATACTTTACGACCTATTCTCATACGTATCAAATATACAAGAAAAAATCATTAAAATCGGTCTAGCTGTTTCGGAAGAGTTTACCCCCAGGCTATTTAAATATTAAAGAATGCTTAAAATTATAATATTATTTTATTAAAGATTAAAGAAAATAACCATCTCCCTGAGTTTCTTTCGCCTGCACTTCTCAGGACTAAGGCTTTTTTTATTCCAAAGCATACACATGTGCTCACGTTCAGTATAAAGTTATAATATTTTAATAGATCAATACTTACCTATTTATAACTAAGGTGTGATAAATTAAATTGACAATGAACATAGCAAGAGCCACCGGAAATGCAAAACATGTGTATTGTAAATAATTAAATATATCCGCAAACTCAAACCCAGCGTCCGGGTGCCTGTTAAAAAAAAACATTTTATTTATTATTTTTTTGTTGTAGTTCATTGAATTTCTATTCCTAGAATTCTTTTTATACATTCATTCAGTACATAATTTAAAAAAAAGAAAATTATTTTGTACTAAGTATAATACATATATACTATTAAAGCCGAATTTTCAATCATAACAAAATTGTTCATGTAATGAAATACGACATAAACAAATTTATAATTACATTTGGATAAATAAAATTTCAAAATATCCCTTTTATATACTGTGAAACATTTTTCTTATTGAAAAATCAGCACCCATCGACAATCGATATTGTTAATAGAAAACGAAAAGATATATGGAAATGGTATATTTTGATAACTTGACGTAACGTTCTGATAAGTAATTTCCAAACATTTTTTATCTTTAATCAGGGATAATCATTGTACAATCTCGTCTTATCTAAGCGTAGATACTGCTCTTTTCAATTTTTACTAAAAATACGTACGAGCACCAAATAGCACGCATTGCTAAAGTCGTCAAAGCTGCATGCGCAATGGCCACGCTTCCTGTTAAGAGAAATAAATTACAATACAACAGTTTAATAATTTATCTAACAAAATAAAAATAACTACAGCATTATTAATGGGAAAAGGCGATATTTTCTAATTAATTAGCAATAAGCTAACCACATCTATCGTCTCGCTTTCAATTACATCTTACGATGTTCGCAAAGGCATTATATTTTATTATTGCTTATACTGATTTTGATGCTGTAATTGTTAATACTAAAAAATATTTTAAATAGAGCACTAGTTCCTTATAAGATTTCTCGACTTATTAAACTTTTACCAAATTTATATTAGTTTTATACAGAGGCAGTCGATTACCGTTGAAATGAACTCTCACGTTCTGTTTACACAGAAACTGTCGTTATCTATAGACGAGGTTAATATCGCTCTTTCATATGTAATACGCAAGCTTAAGATTTTATAGTTTAACTTATATATAATTTATATTCTTTCTATATTTGTATCTTCAAGATAAGAAAATCTTTCTAACTAAATGGCACGACATATGTAATTTTAATTAAACTTATAATATTATGCTTTCTAATACATTTCTATCTAAATCAAGTACTCTTTTAATTTGTAACGATATGTAGCTACGTTTTTGGGTAATTTTTTTAATGTAGAATCTGAGAATCAAAAATTTAAGTACTGATAGAATACACTACTGAAACTTATGCTCATTTTATCTATACTATTCTTATTTTAGGCTTACAACTTTAGTTTAAAAAGCATTTACGAGAACAACGTGACCAAAACTGCATTGTGGAAAATCAATTTTTTTGCTAATTTTTTTTAATACGGCTATGATTCCGTAAAGAATCGCTTCATATCAAACAATTGCACTCATGTCTTAGTTATGCTTTAAATATTATAGACAAAATATACCAGATAATTTAATTTAAAATCTTACCAATAGCCGATGCAGTTTGCACCGCGTTTAAAACAATATACCGCATTACATCATAGTCCGGCTCAGTTTTTCTGTACCTGGCCGTACTACTCTAAAAAAATGAAAAAAATTAAATATAACATTTGATACACACACACACACACCCGATATACTTTCTTAGATTTATGCGAATATTTGACATTTTAAATAAAACTATCTTTTTGAATTTTTGGCGCATATATTTTGATTTTTGGTTGCCTACGTTTCGAATGCTTTACAGCAATCATGACGAGTGACTGGACGGGATTAGTCTCTCAACAGACTACAAACAAAAGTTGGGTTCCAAATAGACCTTATATCCAATATAGCATTACAAGCTTAATATTTTTTCTTTCATTTATATAAGAGATTTATGTACATACCTGTAAGCTCATGAAAGCTGGAGTCAAAAATTGCGTTATAGTTGAAGTCACAATAAGTCTATTTGAGATCATAGATAAAAAGAATGCAGCAGTACTTGCTTTGAAGATCAGTCTGCAAACCAAAACCAATAGTTGAATACCATAAATTTTATCTTGATGAAATTATATAGTACCAACACATTTGTTAATATAATATACTAGCATTGCCCGCGGCTCCGCCCGCGTTCAGATAACCAACAACCAAATTCTTAGGTTTTACATATTAGTATACAGTTTAGTTTGCAGTTTTTGTATTTTTTCTCATAAATGAGATATTTTACCGCGGTCAAAAGTATCCTATATGTTGACCCGGATAACCAGCTACCACCATACCAAATTTCATAAAAATCCCTCCAGTGGTTTTTCTGTGATGCGATAACAACAGACTGACAGACAAAAATTCTAATAATTATAGATTCGGCCTCTGTATCGATAATAATGTTTATTTCAATAAGATTTTCCAAGAAATATTTAATGTACAGATTCGGCTTATTTACAATTTTATTATATTACATATGTATAGATTAAGCTTCTATTAATATACCTTTTAGCAGAAAATTGACTACTATCTCGACCCGAACATAAAAACCATAAGATGATACGACGATCAACACCGCATCCATTTAACAGTAAATGTATCATACCAGCTAAAATATGTAACCCTATGTTATCCTGTAAAAATATTTAGATATACTTTTAATGAAAAATATATATCTACCACCCATTATATATTATATATATATATATATATATATATATATATATATATATATATATATATATATATATATGTTTCTTATGAAATACATACGTTAAAGTAACATTTACAAACGTCGTTAGTGGCCATGATACCTGTCATGGGCAGAAGAAACATGGGTATGAAACCTGTCACCGGAATATTTACTGGTTGTATCAAAAAGAACCAAAACATCCACAACCAAAGGCATCTTACAGTGATGTAACTCTGAAATAAAATTTGATTTAAATATTAAAAAAAATATTTTCTAACACAACCAATCTCAAAACTATTTACGGTGTAGCGTAACAACTTTATGTTCCGAGCTAATACACTACACGATCTATTTGCATTATTTGTTTCTGTTTCATACACAATATAATATATTATAGCACTAAAATATACTTATTATTCTCATACTAGTATTTTAAGTGGTCTCTTTAAGTAAAATATTCTTATTACGAACAACTATTAACGAATAAAGTAAAATTAAAATTGAAACGTCTTAGTTAGGATCTAAATGTTGCATATAGGGATCTAAAGAAACTCAATAAACTGTGTTTTTTAATACTAAATAAAAACTTACTTTATCTTTCTTGGGTTGCCATGATAAAGCCACAATAGGTACTATGACTCCCAAAAGTCCTCTAAAATGTGTTACGGCAATATTTTTAAGCCTTGGACCTAAACCCTTTACAGGTGTACGTGGATCCTTTTTGCTAAATTAACGTAAAAATTTGTGTTACATAATTACTATTACATTTCGTTATAAACAAAAATGTGATTTCATGTTAAGTGCTTTTATTTTTTTAGATGTTTATTATTTTAGATGTTTTTGATACAACATGAATATTATAGATCGATCAAAAAGTTTTTTTTTATGTTACCGCACATTTAATAAGTAGTTTAAAGTTTCAAAAAGAAAATAGAACAAGGATGTGTAGTTTAATTTTTACGAAATTATGAAATATACAAGGAACAGAGAGATGCGTCATCAAATTATTACTGTACCTGCGTGCATCAAATTGCGTGATAAATTTTATTCAAATATATTTTATGGTTGTTTTTATAAGTAAATTTAAACTTATAATATAAAATTTTGATTTGATTTGAAATAAATAAATTTTAAATGAATCAATTAATTATATGTTAATTTTTATTTCAAATGTAAATGTATATTGTTATTTAATTTATAGTTTTTATTGTTGTTGTGTTATAATAAATAAATTATTATTATTATTAAATAATACGTAAAGTATACTTACTACCACGACAATATCCTGAAATAATTAAGAGTAATTAATTAATCATTGAAAAATAATGAGTTAAAAACATAAAGGCAAATGTATCAAAGGCTTTGTTATCATATGTGAGAAAGAAAGATAAATGGGAGTAGTAATGGCTAAAAACTATAGGTCTAATTTTCCTTTTCCTTCATGAAATTCTATTAAAACATACTATCTTCAACTTATCTTATTTTTTTTAAATCTTAAATCCTGTTTTTTTTTAATAAAATATTTAATATACTATATCTTAGCAATATTGAGTATAGTTTTAAGCATATATAGCATACTATATTAGTACCACTCTAATTTTTAGTCTTCCACGTTTTATAACCCAAACGTCTTAATATAATCTAAAATTTTATATAGTTGCATAATTGTTTTCTTGTAAAACATTAAATATATAGAATATACAACATAAATAAAATATACCTTCTTCTTCTGAGAAAATATCATGTACACAAATATTACCTACAATCTATATATATAATAATAAAAATATTCAAATATAAAAGTACTTACGACCCCATTTTCCCCTGACGTTATAATACAAATAATGTCACATTGACTCTTGTCTTGTTGATTATTAAAAATTTAAATATGGAAACAAGGTTTTAGTTTGAAAAATGAGGTTAAATAAAAGAATTATAGCTGATGAGTTATAATCCAGATAAAAAAATAAACTATTATTTTATGTAATTTCAAAAAATAAATTTAATAAAATATTTATTAAGCAGTACGGCACTTGATCTGTTTTTTAAAATTGAATGACTCTACTTATTGGTAAATATTGATAAGCATTATATTGTAATCACGAAATAACTATAAATGAGAAACGAATTACACAAATGGCAGTATTTATTTAAGGAAATGTAACAGTCAAAAATTTCCATGACACATAAAAGTCACATAAGTTCATAAATTCGAAAATCACTTCTCGACCTTTGTTCTTTCACGACTACTTTGCATTATTTGCAATAATAATCTCAAATACGTCAATGTCAAATAATGCGACGTTGTTATCACGTAACGATATGCTTCAGAGGGGTTCATGTTCTTATGAATCAAACGGGTGTAGTCCTTCTATAGGGATCTGTGCCTACAGCACGATCATGCCGTGGTGGCTTATCTTCTATAACCGTCCTTGCACCAGCACCAAATGTCACCATTTCTTCTTCCCGTGATGGCGGTGGTTCGACTGCTGATGTATCTAAAAATCTCCCGCTGGCTACTGAAGCCTGAGATTGAAATATAGATGCACTCCTAAGACCACTTAGTGTATTCGCACTTTGAGGAACTTCTTTGAATTCTTCAAAATAATTGTCACATGCCGTTGGTCTTGGCGCCGCTGGAAATCCATAAAGCGTTGACGAGGATAGATCCTTAAGCGACGCCGAGCTTAAATTTATTCTACGATTTTTGTGTATTGAGCAATGAGGCATTTCGTCTCCATCAAATACAAATCGTCTTCGTTCTCTTGGAGTCGCCGCTGATGACCCAGAGGGAGGATAGGTATCCCTTTTCATCATACGTCTTTCTAATAGAGTAGAGTCTCTTTCCCTAAAATCTGAAAACGCAAATTCACGATCCCACGCGCGACAATCTGCTTTGGCTTTCTCTGTCAATTCCGTAATCCAGTCTTTTTGGTACCATTGTAAAAAAAGGAATATAGCCGATGTACCCGCTAGTTCCGCTGCTACGAAACCGCTTATATATAATCCAAATGAGTAACCATAGCTGTATGACATACGAGGCGTATCAAAAAATGTCATATAACGAAGTTTGTGACCCACTTGAGATTTGAACACAGATATGTACATGACGATACCAGTCAGCATGATGAGACCTGGAAATAAAAATGTAACTGAATAAGTTAACAAATTCAAAGTTAAAATATTTTATTCAGCATTAAATTATTACAATTTTTTACTGAACGTCAAGGTTCTACTACACTACAAGAGTCTACTACCAGAAAGATTAAGCCTCAGACCTGAGAAGAACTGGCGAAAGAAATTCAGCGGGACTAATATTATTTCATTATCTTTTTTTATAAAGTTAAATTATATATTACAATATTTCTATAAAATTGAATTAGCCTGGAGCCACTTCATTCCCAAGGCGTGCCATCTTCTCGAAAATCATTAATTGTATAATAGCATTTAGCACACGAACGTTCTTTAACAATTCTTTTGAATTTGGCGTTAGAAGCTTTTTTAACATTTTATTGGATCCTGTTGTATAAACGTATATTTTGTCCATAAAAATAATTATTGACTCTGTGTAGATGAGTCACAGGATTACAAGTTTGTATTTTCTCCTAGTATTAATGTAATGCATGTCAAAATTCTTGGGAAATTCCTTTAATTTTTTTTCGAACATACATAACATTTTCGTACACGTACTGAGATGCAACAGTCACTATTTTTATTTCTTTAAACTTATCCGCAGATTATCTATAATGATACTCTAGGATCTAAACTATAAATTGCCCGAATAGCTCTTTTCTGCCGGGCAAAAATCGTATTAATAGCAGCTGCATTTCCCCAAAGTAAGATACCATAGGACCTTATCCTATGATAATAACTAAAATATACTATGCGAGCTGTATCTACGTCAGTAACAAGTTTTAATTTTTTACCGCGAATGCTTCAAAGCTGAATCTACTCGCGAATCCCTCAATATGGGGACCCCACTGCAATTTCGAATCTATGATAATACCTAAGAATTTAGTGCACTCTAGCGGTTTTAGCACTTCCCCATTTAATATTACACCATTATCAACAAGTTTAACATTAGGTGTTGAAAATTTTATTAATTTTGCCTTTTTATTATTTAATAATAAATTATTTGAATTAAACCAATGGACAACCTTTGAGAGAGCATTGTTTACATCGTCGTACATTAGTAAATTACGCTTCACCTTAAAAATAAGTGAAGTGTCATCACAATACTATCTCATGTTTGTCTTGTACAAAAATCGGCAAATTAATTATAAATTAGAAAGAGAAAGAGGCCAAGACTAGATCTTTGTGGAACCCCCATGTCTAATGGAGCCCCAGGAGATCTCTTACTATTTACATCAATCCTCTATTCTATTATTTAAATACGAATTCAAAAGGTCAAATGCCTTATTTCTAATACCATAATGATGCAGTTTCCTGATCTGCGTCTCATGATGCACACAATCAAAGGCCTTGGATAAGTCACAGAATATCCCAAGTACATTCTGTGACCCCTCCCAAGCCTTAAAAATATTTTTTACTAGCTCAACACTAGCATCTGCCTTTTCGTAATTCCGAAGTATTTGTGCAATGAAACATTTGTTCAAATGAAACTTTTTCAAAATTTTTACTAAGTTTTGGCAGTACCGAAATTGGTCTAAAATTATTAGGGTCTAAGGTACTACCTGATGACATATGTATAATACCCAGCGGCCGTCAAAATCAGGAATCGATAACAAAAAGAAAATACAAATACGGATTTGGATACACAAATAGGCTAACCTAGAGTAAGACATAGGCTCCTAGTAATAAGATTTGCCAAGAGGTGGCGCTACCTTTATAAATGTAATTTATATATATAAAAATAAATCCCTATTTTCCTTAGTCAAAACAAAGTCGTGTTAGTTACAACATTTATAACTCAAGAACGGCTGAACCAATTTTTATGATATTTGATTTTTTGGACTTCTCTTAGTCCGGTATAATATATATGGTTAACGCTGCTTAATTTATATCTATTTAAAACGTACCTAGCGACAAACCCGAGCGAAGCGAGGGTGAGCCGCTAGTATTATAAATACATAAGACTGAGTGAAGGGAGGGTAAGATATCAGAATAAATTACAGAAAAATATTTTGTCGTTAGAATAAATTAAATACTGGCATTTTAATAAAATATATTGTTTTACTTACCAGATATAATAAAAAGGACACCAGCTATAAATGTACAAATTCTACGTCCTTTAACACAATGTCCTAAGACGCAACATAGCGCACCGACGGCCTGCGTTAAAACGGCTAACAACAGCGGTGCGGCTGATCGAGTCACCACATCTGAAAATTTAATAACAAAAATTCATATTGTATAATTTTATCATTACTTTTTGAAGAGAAACTACTTTAGAATCATTGGGATTTGAAACTCGATGAAACGAAAATGCGACACTAAAAGAGACAAACACATAAATATATAGGATTAAGCCGGCGAGAAAATGAGACAGAATAATACATTGCCATGTTGCCATGGTAACCGTAGTTATTGTCTGACAGATATATAATAATATATTCTTTCCGTATATGATATTCTATAAGTATATAATTGTAATATGCCTAATATGTCTTATTTAATTATTGATTTGTTTTAATTTAATTGCGAAATTTGCCAAAGAAGTTTTACTTCAACCGTGCGTAAAGGTTACACGCACACATTTTATTTTTATATAGAAACTAACGACGTAACTTATCTTACTTAACGTCATAGTCTATATTACAAACATACTAAATTATTAAATATCCTATTAAAAACGAATATAGATTTAATTTTTAGGTTAAAATTAAAAATAATATGAGTAATAACGACTAAAATTATAATCAAAATTAAAACTCCAATAAAATATTTGATACATGAATAAAATCTTAGCCGGAAATCAAAGTTGCTGAGTAATATATAAGTCATACATGCAGCCATGCAATACCAGCAACTGCATTTAAAAATTGACTTGAATGGTTTTGTGTATTGTTTTATTTTTCAACAAACCTAACCTAAGCTAGGAATATTATATTTTAATCCTTATATGTATTTAAAAGCCAATTACTTAGTTTGAGAGACAAAATTATTGTAAAGAAGGCCATGAAATTCTTAATCCTATACGAGATACTATTACAGTTATAAATAAATATAAATATGTTGGGATATTAACACACAGCACCATCTAGTTCCATGATAAGCTACGAGGCTTGTGTTATGGATACCAGATAGTTAATACACTGCACATATTATATAACTTTAAATATATTATAAATATAAACATCCATGACTAGAGTACAAACATTCGTGCTCATCACACAAATGAATGCCCCAGACCCGAACCCGCGACCGCTGGCACAGCAAGTAGGATCATTACAAACTGAGCCAAATGTGTCGTTAAATGTATTATCATTGTACATTAAGAAAAAGAGGGTTAAAAATATGAATAACTTACATGGTATTGCATTTGTTGAGTCGATGAGGTCAGGCGAATATTGCGAAAGTGGAAAATACGGTATATCCAGACATCGATACACTGTACGACCAGCTGAAAAATTAAATATTATATTCAATGCAAAATATGTTTAATGTATATATTTATAATTATATTTTATGTATAAATAAATTATCGAGAACAGTAAAGACTGTATCATGAAAAGTTATTATCTAGACACATAGAGTGTGGGAGCTTAAATGTAAAATTCGAAGTACCTACTTGAAGAATTGAAATAAAACTGAACTATGGTTATACAAAAAAATATATTGATATCCATTCAGCAGTTTCCACCAAGACTAACATCTCAAATCTAACATATCACAACAAACATTGGAACCGTCTGGTATTTGAACCCGCGACCTTTAGCTATTCATATTATTCAGAGTATATTGTATATGTCATAAGTTGGATGGATTCCGACTCTACATTTTTTTTGATAGAAGTAACTAAGTAACATAGGCTGTTTTGTCCACGTGGACTAACCAGTGAGTGAATTCTAGTGGACTTGAATTGCCATAAACGTAACTTTTAAACATTATTTATAAAATTCGACATTGAAACTTAGAGAAATAATAAAATTTATGAAAAATATGACCCATTTAACAGTTATACGTAAACACAAAGGAATTTTTAATGAGGGAAATGGACCAGTCACTAACGTTGCGACAGTTACGGACGCATCATAGTACTTATATACCTATATTAAATGCAATATGTATATAGTGTATCTATGGCACTTATGAATGTAATGTCATAATGTGCGGAGAGCGCGGCGGCACAATGGGCTTCCCGTCGCGGGAAGTGAACGTATTGTGGTCACATGACGGCCGGAAGTTGTGCTTGCCTTTGTCAACTCTTACTGTTGTTACATTTTTACATAAGTGAAATAAAGGAAAATTTAAAATTACCTAAAATGAAGGCACATTTACTCATAAAGTTATAAGTTTTAATATTGTGTCATCATTTAAAAGTTAACTTATAGGTATTTATAATCTACCATAGATTTGTTTTGCCGAGACAAATCAAAACTAATACAAATAGGTGCTACAACTAATACTAAAATCGGACAGGTGGCGCTGTAGTCACATATTTAGAAATATATTCCGGAAAGACTCGTGAAAACTTAAAACTATAAACAAACAGTTGTTATTTTTGAATATTCAAACTAATTGTTTGATCTTAAATTGAAATTTGTAAATTAAAACTGTTTACATTTATCTGGTTTTTACATCTATCGGCATTCTGAATGTTAGCGTTAACACGTCACGAGACTATGTCGATGAATTTACTCCCCATCCAAACCTACCTATAGAAGTTTACTCTTCAAAAAATATCCAAAATATCGGAAATTTTCATTCTATTAATCGATTTGAGATAAAATACCAAAAAATAATTACAATACTCGTATTTATATAGTTGTTTGTTATACTTACGCTCTGTGTGACATATTCGCCAAAGTCCTGAAACGGTGTGCTTGGCGACTAGCTCGTACTTCCCCGTCCCATTAAAAGAAGGACTCAGCATATTTTCCTGTGTGTGCAACCAGTTGTTGGTCGTCACTGCTATAATAATAGCGACTACAGCAGTGCCGGCGGACAATGGGGTCAGTAACCATAAACAAGCTACTGATGAGTCAATCTGTGCTACGACTGTTGGTGAGGGAGGTGTAGGTCTGTAATGTGTAAAATATTGGGAATTATTACTTCGAACTTCTAATGATTATGAAATAACACTTACCTACGTATACTATATAATATGGAAAGGCACATAGATTTTATTATTTTATTTTAAAGCATTGACTTTGGAAATACCTGATTAGATATCTATAGTAAATAAAAACTCCCGTTCAGTTATTTTTTACTTTTTAGTGTCTGGAAATCAGTTTTTTTTATTTTTTTTCCATTTTCAGTGTAGACGTAGAAGTGGCAAACTTGAAAGAAAAAGGCATGGCATATTTACACTAAAAATCTTATTTGGTTTGTCATATCAAGCCAAATAGCCAGACACAAAGTGTCTATTAGAGGCCGTTGAAGAGTTCCACTATCTACTTACTGGCCTCGCTATTAGATCAGGTAGCGTGACGCTAGGGCTAGGGGTGCGCCCCCCAAGGGCGGCGTAAAGAGAATTTATTTTGTACACCATCAAATTAAAATAAATACAAATCGTTAAAATAATGTGTGTTTTATTATAATAAAAAAAATAGAAGGGGGCATCAAAATATTTTTTATAATTCGGGGAGGCTGAACCAAACGGATAGTATACACTTTCAAACGAAAAAGAATTTTCCAAATAGGTTAATAAATAACGGAGTTTATAACAAATGTAAACATTACAACCGAATTGAAACCTCCTCCTTTTCAAGCGACTTCAAAAAAAGGAGGAGGCTCTCAATTTGTTTGTATTATTTTTTGAAGTCGGTTGAAAATAAGGATGATACATAGTAATATAGAACCTCCTCCTTTTTGGTAAACAGGTAATAATTAATATAGTAAAAATTTGATCACTTTTTAAAACAAATATTTTTTTTATTATATACTTACATAATATATTTTATTATATACACAATATTATTATATACATAATATTATTAAATTCATAATATAATTGTATTCGAGAACACTTTGAGACTGTTAACAAGAAAATTGAATTACATTGCATTCGGAAATATTTTATTTATATTTTAGTCTGTCTGTATGGCTAAAGCAACATATTCAGTAATAATTAATCGTATACCTGGGCGGGCGGCGGCTAGCGATGGCGCCACTGAGCGTAGGAGCGGGCTGCGCACGCGCACCACGCGGGAGCGACGCATGCACGCATTGCGCGCCGCCGCCCCACATGCCTTCCCTCCGCTTCACTGAAAATCCACAGCAATGTAATTTGAAATATTTTTTATTATATTTTTACATTCAACCACTTGTGAGAAATAAAAGTAATAAAGTAAATTTAATTAAAATAATAGAATGTCTTGAAGGACGACTTTACTTAAACTAACTTATGTAGTCGCTTTCGTCAGAGTTCTTCAAAGTTAAGGAAATTAGCATAGACAACTACTAAAGTACTTTTAAAACTTAAATTGCTAAAGTTACTTTAATTTTTTGATCATATTGAGAAGATATAATGGGATTCAATAATCATCATGCTTTTAATCAAAAAATGGAGCATTTCTTCACATTAGCCAAATAGGATTTACTTTACAATATAATCATAAGCTCACTTCGAACGTACTAATATAATTTATACGATCATAAAGTAATATAAATATTATATTGCTTTGTGCATAATATAAATATTTTAACAACCATAATATCCAACCTTCTTTGACAAGAAACACGTTTGTTTCTCATATCTACCCTATTAATATTTAAATTTATATGAATATGGATTTTCCACCGTAATAAATATTCCTATATGCTTTTGAATATTGGCAAAGAACAGAAATTTGCTAAAATAGTATAAGTTGGTTAAAAGAATAAATGGGATGTGTATCGTAATAATAGTATCTACTTGTACAGCCTTCGACGTTAGATATTGTTAGAGGTAGCATTCACGTTGCGAGTTGTGTATAATTTGTATTTTTTGTTCAACATGGAAGGAAAAGCGCTTGTGATACAAATTCACTTAGTACGTGCTTAGTGCTTTTGTAATAAATTATATTTTTGTATTTATAAATAAATAAATAAATAAAAATACTAAAATAACATTGTAGGCAATGGTAGCTCAGTGGTAACACGCTCTCTTTAGAAACTAATAAAAACAGGTTCAAACACCGAGTCTTGCATCTCTGAAACTCTCCTGTGCGAATCATTATCAACATGTTTATCGATTATCACTTGCCTTACGGTGAAGGAAAATATGTAAGGACGTTGATGGGTATTCTTCGGTTCTCCGAGATTGCGTCCTTCATCTGATTAATCTGGCCAAAAATTATTTTCATTTTTGGCTCATTTCAACATACTCTTATGATTAAAGACATGCCAAATAATATCTCGGAGAAATACCCTGATCTTCTTTAAATCGAACCCCCTGCGGTTGACGTTTAAAACAAAAAACAAAAAAGGGCTGAATACAAAATAAATATGCACTGACCACTAGTGACCTATTCTGGATTCACCCGTTTATTATTTTAAATTTAACATTTCCCGAAATATGCTATTGTCCATTTGAAATTTTGTAACCTTTTCAGTCCTTTCTATTTCAAAAAGGGTCTCTTCTACAAGACTGGCATTCAATCAATTGAGACGATTCAAAAATGATTCTTAAAATTTATTAAAATAAAGTATATTTTCCTTTAATGTAGAAGTAAATATGAAATTATTAATTAATATCAATCTGTGCCTCGCAAACACACTCTTCATAGCGCAATTTCATAAAGTTTGTTTAACGTATTATTAATTTTAACAATCTTTGTTCGTCCTAGAGTTTTGTTCAAATGAACTGTAATAAGGAAAATGTTTATTTTTAGTGAAATAAGTCGATTAATCAACATCAGATTGCTCGGACAAAATTCTGTTCATTTAGAACAAAAGTGTACCATATCCAAACATTTTAGCCAATGAATTGTTCCCATTTACCAAAATATATTTCGTTCCCACAGCTAACTTTGGAACTTCCGAGAAAATGACACGTTTTGTTCTCCTCAAGAGAATGGAGGTAACGTAGAAATGATATTAGTTATTGCCCGAATTTATTACTTAGCCACCGACTTCATTTAAATACTAACTCTTCTTCGGGCTATTTGCGATTGTGGAGTGTGGTGGCTGGTTCTAGAACTACGATTAAAGCAGCCAATATACTTTAATATAATATAATCTATTATATTATATTAAGGTCATGAAAAATTTACTTCCGTATTTATCAAAAGTTGTCGCCATAACTAACATTGATTAAGACGAATACAATAAAAATAAGACAGATGCTACAGTAATAAAGCAAATATATTATAAGTCATGTTTTAATTAACTAAATTGGTTGAAGAAAATTAAAGGTTTGATACCCTTTCCATGATATTTGTTATTCTTAGTTTGTACTTGGTGCGGGCTAAGATAAACGACATATTGCTATCTCTAGGGAACTGGTGACCGTCGAAACTCCAAATTTATGATTTCCTCGTGATTTAATCTTTGTTCAATTATATGTTGTACATCGTGTCCTGCATAATGATTTTTTATTCAAATGAGACATGGATTAAATAGGCAACCTTTTGTATGGAACGTTTGCAATTTTTTTACTTATTTTTTCTCTTTCCAGTAATGAAACTTATAATAACATGATTAATGATTAGTGGTAGTAGTTCTATATTAAGAGAAATCTTTTAAATAAGACCAATTCGCAAATCCGTAATCACTTTGACATATTGAACTTGCTATTTACTTTTATCAGGCGTTATTTTTAAATAAATGTTCCTATAGTTTACCATTTTACGCAGAGCAACTAGCTGCCCTCGTATATCATACTCTTGTGGCACTTCTAAATTTGTTTGGGGGTTCTGGGTAACAAGTAGATCTATTTTTAATTTTTGTATTACTTTGAAATAATGATTACTATTTTTCTTAACTTTAGCCTATGTGTTACTTTATACACTATATTACTGTGTACGCTATATTACTGTAAAATTTCTTCAAAATCCGTTCAGCAGTTTTTGCGTACAAAAGTAACAAACATACATCCTCAAAAACTTTCATGTTTATAGTATGTATTAGGAGGATGTTTACATTAATTTATCTCTCGCTAAAACTCACAAATGACTGGACCAATTTGAATAATTCTTTTTTTTGTTTTGTGCGTGCGGAGAAGAGATGGAAAGGGGGGGGGGGGTACGGCAGATGTTTCGTTTAAGCATAAAAAATAGGAAAAACCCAAAAAAAATGGTGGAAAATCGTAAAGTTCAAAACCGTTTATTTATCATTCCATCTAACCGTTAAAACGTACATACCTACGAGCTAAACCGAGCGAAACGAGAGTGAGTCGTTAGTTTATTATATTTAAAACTGTCACTTTTAACAAGCTACCTTGCGTGACAGTTCCTGAAAATCAGTGAACTTTGGGAGTGGTCGTATACGTTTTCTAGGTTTTCAGCACAGGCTAATAATCCTTTTCGAGATGGTACTGGTATGACCGTGTGCGTGGTATCAGCACCAGTGCCATTACTAAATTGCTCCTTTTACATTTTTTTTATCTTTAACTTGTTTGTTCTTTGATTTAATGTTGTTTGTAAGGTATGTATGTCACATAAAGCTTTTTCTATTCTATACTATACCATATATAGCATACTATTCTATACAAAGTCGTTTTAAATTAAAATGCATAGTGAAAAATCGACAGCACGAGCTAGTTTAATTTGCAAGCTAACTTTGCAATTATAAAGTCAACGTTTTGTGAAATGATATTGTGTTCTTATTTAACTTAATAGTAATTACATGCTATTTAAATAAAAACTCTTAAACAAAAAAAATAAAAACCGGCTTCAAATAAAAGCACTAAAAAGTAAAAAATAACTAATTGGTAGTTTTCATTTACTATACATACCTAATCAAATATTTTCGAAATCGGTGCCAGCCGATACAAATCAAAGAACACCGACTAAGTAAGCAGTAAGTTATATATATATATGCAATATATCACGTCAATTCGTAGCTTCATAAGGGTAAAACAACAACGCACTTTCGCATCTTATTTCCACGTTTATAATATTAGTAGGTTTTTATTTGACAAAATTATTTTTATTGCTTACACATTGTATAATGTGTTTGTTTTTGTCCGCAGGTCTGCTTGCATGATAAAAGTTAGCCTAAAAAAGACATAGTTATGTCTGTGGTAGCTCAGTGGTAACGCGCTCGCTTGGGAAACCGAGTGAAGCGAGTTCAAATCCCGGGTCTCGCACCTCAAATATTTTCATGTGCGAATCATTTCTAACATGATTACCACATGCTTTACGGTGAAGGAAAACATCGTGAGGAAACCTGCATGTCTCAGAGAACCTGACAAGTTTTCGAAAGACATGTGAAGTCCGCCAACCCGCACTTGGCCAGCGTGGTGGACTATGGCCTGATCCCCCTCGTATTGAAGGGTGGCCAGTGCCCAGCAGTGGGACATTAAAAAGGGCTAAATAGAATAGAATAGATGTCTGTGTTAAATTTCATCGATATTTGTTTAGCGGTTTAAGAGTGAATAGGTAACAAACAAATAGAATTACTTTCACATTTATATTATTATGGACAATTAGATAAAACATACATAGATGAGTTCAACTTTTGTTACTATTATGTCAATTTGAAACAAGTCGCACAAACAAGGTAAAATAAGCATTTTACTTCAAATTCTTAGAAAGAATTGTGGAAGTCAACAAAATTATTGATTCGAATTAAAATGGCAAGAATATTGTCTATGACAGGTAAATATATGATTTATTCCAAAACATTTTCCTACTTTTGACACGACATGGGAATTTCTTATCGTTTTTCCTACTTTTTGTACAAGCAACAAAGCTTTTAAAGCTTTCAAGGAAGAGTATAAAGTCATATTTTCATACTTTATATTTTTAGCGTACATTTACACTTACGTGTTTATGGGCGATATAATGGTTATACTACTGAAACATGATATCCACTACTTCCTTATTTTACTCATTTTAAATATTCTCACAACTTCTCCAACTATGTTGATGTTTATATTTTCAAGAGCATCACGTAAATATCAATTTATGTCTCATTGATTTCATTGATTAGTATAAATATTATCAGTATTTGAGATATTATAATATTTATTAATAAAAAGAAAAAAAATTAGGTTATAGTTGGTGAAGATACCTCACCTATCCCCCCAACGTGCGTTCACCTTGTCATGGTGGGGGGGGGGGGGGGGGTCTCAGTAGAGCCCGGCAATACAGCCGGGCGCGAAGCCAAGAAAAGCACAGGGAGGTGGCCCACTTCGGTGGGCGGTGGGGGAGGTGGCCCTCTTCGGAGGGCGGTGTACCATGCGGGTTGCTCCTGGTACTTCTCTGATAGCAGAGTGGACCTTGGAGCAACCCCGTTGTTGTTGTGGT